AAGGACCTTCCTCTAGGTGTAATGAGAAGGTCCACTCCACCAATCTCAACTACTCAGCTATTGTGGACATAAGGCGCACGTGCAGCACAATGACTCCGAGCCCTGTGTGGAAATGCTGTTCAGTGATACTGTGTAGATATCACCTCATTATGTGCTGCACCCATCTTACCACTCTGGAATTACTCACTGCCTTTGCCTCCCACATTGAGGCCAGAGATGTGGCAAGGAGCAAGAGTGTGCTGGTACTGAGAAATGACAGTGCCAAAAAGACCAACAAGCTGATTGTAGCCTGGACTAGAACACTTATCTAAAAAGAGCTTGACTTAATTATTCAAATCACTATCTGGAGGGCCACAGTCTAAGGCCCTCCAAATGCTTAGCAAGACCAAGATATCGTAATTAGGAAGCTAACTTATGGGGGTGGGAGGCTGAAAGCCCTGTGACCACAATGTTTCTGGGTCAAGGCAAGACTGGGGAGGTGTCTGGGTGAACCTAAATTTATTTCACTTTCTTATGTCAATCACTGCTTACCCCTTCCAATATGTCTTCTCCCACTGCTCACTCGAGGTACCTCTTACCCTTATTTACCAAATCCAGTTGGAAAGAATACTGTCAGAGTGAGTGCTGTTTTCTCCATCCTCATCTTTCTATCTCAGTAGCATCTGCTACTCTTTTAATTCATGCCTGCCTAGGAAACTTTTTCCCTCTTGGGTCCTTTTCCTTTAAAACACACACTTATTTTAATCTGATCACTTAAAGGAGAGTACTTCCAGCAGGTGAAGGAAATACTTTCATTAGGGGCTTTGCAAGGTTCCAAATATATATACATCACCATTTTGGTAACCATAAGGCTTTGCAGTTTATGGCATCTATTAGGAAGATGCTCCCAGTGGAGTCAAATATTCTCAGCAGTGGCATGGCAGAGCACCAATGATGGTAGCAGATGCTCAGATACAAGGAATGCACAGAGACACCCAAACTGTGGACGTACTCTTGGAACACAAGAAACACCCAGAGACTAACAGAAATAATTGTGAGGGAACGGGTGTTTTATAGGAGATGGAGTGTGAACTGGTGAGATATGAGAATTAATGAAGTTGTGTTCTCTTTCATACCATTATGCTGTGCCTACACTGTGTGCTTGGCACTATGCTAGGCATTAGATAAAAAAGACATGGTTTCATTTACCAAGGAGCTCACAGTCTTGTTATCACGACAAATATAGGAAAGCAGACAATAACTAGAACCTCCTGGAACATTTTAGTGTTTCAATTTTTAAAACAGAGATTTTTCATTTGAGTTTGAAAAAGTTAATTAAGAAGTTTTCTTGGGCTGGTTTGATCTGATTACCCAACTACCTCCCTATTTTAGATGGAAATTGAGGCCCACCCATAGAGGTTAAGTAATATTTCCAAAATCAGTCACAGGTGGCTAGAAGCACGACAGGAAAAGGCCAAATCTAACACTCAAAATTACTCTTTTCCATTACATCATAATGTCTCATTTATAAGCCACTAAATGAATGCCTCTACTCTGGTTTTTCATTCATAGCTATATGGAAAAGAACAGTGTAGTGAAAAAAGCATGGCTACATAATCAGAGCAACCTTGTATCTGAATTTTCTGACAAATTTACACTACTTTGTTTAGCATTAAGCCTGGTTGTAATAAAACAGCTAAGTGTTCTGGAAGAAATTATGATAAATCAATACTACTAACAAAAGACTGGATATGTGAGTTTGCACCTGCTTATTAGGCTTTATCCCTGTCCCAGGATTTGTTAACAGATTATATCAATATCTCTCAGCAAAGCTAACTGAAAAGTGACGACGAAAGAATAACAGTATTAACACTAATTGATGTCTTGTTAGAAAACAGCCATACCAAACAACCTTTAGGACTTACTTTATCCTACAAATGTAACTAGTAAATTAAGAAGGTAATACAAAATCAAGGAAATCCAGTTTAAAAGTATAAATATTTTTCATGTGCTCTAACACAGCCCTCACATTTCATCTATTCACAACATTTTCTACAGCTTTGCTAAATAATTTTGATAAACCTGTTTCTCAAAAATGCCTTAAAACTGCTACCACTGTCTAAACTGAAAGCATACAGCTTTTCTTAATACTGAATACTTTATCTTATTATTGAGAGCATTGTCTAAACTGAAAGCCTAACTTCTCAATTACTATATTTTTGAAACTGCACACAAATATTATACTAGTTAGGCTGAAGGGAAAAAATATGCCAATCACACTTTTTGCAGCCCTAAAATTCTCTCTGCTTTTAGGTTTTACGAATGTTGAATCATGAAATAAAGGAAACAGACAATGAAAGACAATGAAAAGAACCCAAAGAAGTAGTTCATCTCGTATTTTAGGCTTCCTAATTATGGTGTCTTGGTCTTGCTAAGCATGTAACTAAAAAGCTCAAGTTCATTTTCAGAAACTGTGAACTCAAAGATAGAACTAAAACGTTTATTACACGTTCAACTTCCTGTTTTATTTAGACAGCTCATCATGACCATTTCAGGTAACAAAACCCAACTTCCTCTTTATAAAGTGATTTTAAAAAAAAACTTCAGCAGTTAGTTATGAGAATGGATGATTTTACTAGCTTTTACAAAAATATAAGGAAATTAGAGTCCATTCATTATCACCAACTTTTCTAAAGGCTTACTGCCTTTAGAAAATGTAACAAAGATAAAATGCAATATTGACATATATTTGGCAACAAAAGGAGTATGCTAGAAGAGGAAACTGGTCACAGACCTGCTATTACCAAACCAAGACTGGACCTGCACCGTAGCTCACGTCTGTAATCCCTGCACTTTGGGAGGCTGAAGTGGGAGGATCATGAGGTCAGGAGTTTGAGATCAGCCTGGCCAACATAGTGAAATCCCATCTCTACTAAAAATACAAAAATTAGCTGGACATGGTGGCAGGCACCTGTAATCCCAGCTACTCCGGAGGCTGTGGCAGGAGAATCGTTTGAACCCAGGAGGCAGAGGTTGCAAGGAGCTGAGACCACGCCACCGCACTCCAGCCCAGCTGACAGTATGACACTCTGTCTCAAAACAAAAACAACCCAAGACTATTAATGTTATTAATTAAAACACTGTCAGTATCTAAAGGCATCTTAATTGGCACTTTAAAAAATATATTTTCCCAAGTTTAATTAAAGGCATTCTAACCCGGTATCAAAGACAAAAATCCAACAACACTGGTCAATGTGTACCACGTAGGCACAATAAACTGAAAAGTTTATTACTCAAATTATTTGTGAAATTTTGGCTGGGTGCGGTGGCTTAAGCCTGCAATCCCAGCACTTTAGGTGGCTGAGGCGGATGGATCGCTTGAGCTGAAGAGTTGGAGACCAGCCCGGGCAACAAAAGGAAACTCAGTCTCTACAAGAAATACAAAAATTAAATGGGCATGGTGGTGCAAGCCTGTAATTCCAGCTCCTCGGGAGGCTGAGGCAGGAGAATCGCTTGAACGTGGGAGGCGGAGGTGGCAGCAAGCCAAGATTGCCCTATTGCACTCCAACCTGGGCGACAGAGCAACACTTTATCTCAAAAAAAAAAAAAAAAAAAAACCTGTGAAATTTTATTGTAACAGTATTTTTGCTTACTTTTATTTGAATCATTATTTCCTTTAGAACAATTTATTATAGATTAATTTCCACCATAAGCTCATATATGTCTTTGTTTTTGTCCTAAATCTTAAACATTTATGAAGATGTTTCCAAATAAGAGAAAATCTAATGCTGCTGTTGTTCGATGGCTTGTTAAGCATTTCAAAATGGCATGCTATATGTGGCTATATCAAGTTTTTCTGTACAGAGGTCTTACGGATCTTAACCGTCCCCTCCCCATTCCAATTTCTTATTTAAAAAGACCCAGGTAGATTTACAGAGTACTCAAGGGGGCACATTTTCTAATAGCCACAGTGGGAGACAAATGTCATAATTCCTGTGCAATAAATTGTCTTGTGAGATCCACTCTAAGTTCTATGTGCCCTAAAATCATGTACTTACTGAAAAGCCTGACAAACTGTTATGAAACTGTGCAACTGTCAGAAGAAAAGTTAGTCCACCTAACTTAGAATGCGCTCTTGTATTTAAGACAATTTTCAAGAAATAAGTATACAAATTGCACACTGACAAATTCACCTATCAAAGACTCCACAGTGGAGCATCAAAGAAGGCAGGATGCTTTGTCCAGACTTGAATGTGTTAACATGAGGTTTATTATGTGTTAACAGAAAACCTTTCTGGAAGTGAAGAAAATCCATCAGCTATTCTAGATTTGTTAACAAGAAACAAAATTTTCAAAAATTATCGTGAAAAGGATGTGTCTACAGGGAAAGACTGGTGTTCAAATTCTGAAGCAAAGTCCCTGAGGCTCACAGATTACAGCGAATCAGTCAGGCGACAGTATGTGAGAAAAAGTAGTAGATGTGTAGCGAGGTGGACATTTGGGACCTCTCTCTGTCGAGGAGTCGTGACAGCAAAATCACTTCCTGAGGAAGGAGGAGCAAAAGGGAAGTTAAGAGGCCGTCCTGATCAGGAAGTGACTCGCCCTAAACTAACCCCACTTATATCTACAAATGGGGGGATGGGATGAGCCCCATCTGCTAAAGGCGGTAAAATAACTGCTTTTCGGTGTGTCGCAACATAACCTTCACCCCTCTCAAAATTACACAAAAAAGTCCACAGTGACCACCCAGTAAAGGAAACGTCTGTTCCCTTGCAGAGAGGCCCCTGGGCTGTGCCTTAGGCCCGGGAGGAAAGGAGAATCGAGGAACGAGGAACTGGGGCCACCGTGAGGCAGAGGAAAGCCCCGTAAGAGGGAAGCGTCCCGACTGCGGAGAGCGTATGTCAGTATGGGCCAAGAAGTTTCTTTTTCCTGGAGATACTGCCAGGCTCCCAACGCAGCCCGGCCGGGCCCCTGTTCCCTGTCGGGGGAGGAGGTAAGAGAAAGAGGCGGACACCCCTTACCTTCTCCTCATCCGACACACGATCATCGAAGTCGGCCATCTTGGGCTGTTCTGGCCCAGCCCGGCTGCGGGCGCGAGGCAGGCCGGGAAGGAAACGGAGTGATGGAATCACCGCGGGGGCCGTCGGAAGGACCCGCCCGGAAACGCCGACTGAGAGGGCGCCATGTCAGTTATGCGCGGGGGTGACGTCTCTTAGCGCCAGCGCCCTAGGAAGTCGGCTTTGCTTTCGGTGATTTGAAGTCTAATATCTTTCTCATTTCTCATCCATCTAATGGGCACTGGCAGCGTGTTTCGATTTTTCTTGGCTCCTGGCCTCCATCCAAGTAGCTATTGCTACTCCTATAAGTTTTTCTGGTACCCGTTTATCTTCATGACAGCCGAGTCCAAAGCGCTAAGAGCTGCTCGGCCGCTGGAACGATCCGTGGCTTTTCCAACCCCGGGGGGGGCAGGGGTGTGAAAGGTGACGCTCATCTCGCTTGGAAGCAGTAACACTTCACTTTGGGGTCACATCTCAGTCCAGTCCTCCAAAACAGGCATTGCTGTCCGCCCCTTCCCTGCCCCACGAAGGAATAGGTAGCCCCAATCCTGGGACACGCTCCTCCACCTTCGAAATCTTCTCGGTCCTGGTTCCCCAGGACTCAGCCTTCAGAGAGACCAACTGAAGGTCCGCCACTATCCCAGGATTCCCGACTCCCTGTTTCCTGTCCTCCCCTCCCAGCTCCTGGCGCCTGCGGTAGCGGCAAGATGGCGGACCGTGGCTGTTTGGCGGAAGCCGAGGCTGCTGGAGAGTCTCCTGCACTTGTGCTCGGCGTAAACCCGATTCTGGGCTGGAGGGAGCGACTGAGGGCCGGACTGGCGGGTACTGGGGCCTCGTTGTGGTTCGTGGCGGGACTGGGACTGCTTTACGCTCTGAGGATCCCTTTGAGGCTGTGTGAGAATTTGGCAGCGGGTGAGAGGACCAGACCTTCTGGGACAGGGCTGGGGGCCAGGAAAGGTATTGTGGGCAAGAGCCAAAGGGCAGAGATTCTCCGTAGTTGTAACTCTGAGGAGTCGATGATGCGTGACCAAGTGCGTTCTTTTTCTTTTGGGCTGCAACCTTGCAGTTGATTGTCAAACCTGCTGCCGCTACCGGCTCCTCCCTAGAACTCTTAAGGTCCGCCCTCTCTCTTATGTCCTCGTTTTTTTCCGTGGAAAACCCACCTGACAAACTATAAGTTTCAGGTATTTGGACAGAAGAGTGCATTCTGAGATTAGGATACATAATTTATATACACCCCCACCACTGGTAGGATCCCTTAAAAGTCATTACTTTGAGTCTCCCACCGCCCAGCTAAGAGAACTCATACCCAGACAAGGAAAATGAGCACATCTGTAGTTTAAAGATTTCAAAGAAAGAAAATGGCATGATTTTAATTGATCGTTCTCTTGTTTTAAAATAGTTCTGTTAAGAAATAGTTTTCGTGATATTTTTGTCTGTTCTTTTAGGCTTATCTTGACTAATAAAATAGTACAGGAAATGAGACAGCACCACAAACAGCAGTGGGTTTGCTAGTTCTTTCAACATCTGTAGAGCACTTGCTATGTAGTCTTTGCTGAAAATACAAAGAATGTAAGAAGTGATGATCCTGATGGATTCTTATATACTGTACCATTCTTTAGTTGTAGATAAGATGAAGTGTTGAGGGCCCAGGCCCTCTTAGCATGTGATTATATATCACTCAAGGTCTGAGCAGCAACCTCAGAACAAGATGGAAGTATTTCTGTTACCTGATTCAGTACAGTGGTTTTCTGTAGCAAAAGGCAGCAAATGTCCCCTTTCCTGTTCCAGAGATGACATGAAAGACTGTGAGGTAATGTTCGGAAATATTTTGGCTTTTTTAGAGGATAGGTATGATTAAGGTCAGATATAACTTGCACAATAAAATAAGCTAAACTGAGGCCGGGCGCGGTGGCTCACGCCTATAATCCAAGCACTTTGGAGGCCAAGGCGGTTGGATCACTTGAGGTCGGAAGTTCAAGACCAGCCTGACCAACATGGTGAAACCCCGTCTTTAAAA